TGACGTAAAATTATTTCAAAGCCCATACTTTCAAAGTGTTTTCATTTTAAAATTGCGATATCTTTTCCATTAACTAAATCTTATTTTATCTTTTGTTGGCTTTTTTATTCAAGTGATTCATTCAATTGACATCAAAATTGCCGCTAATTATAAGAATTGCAGATGTTTTCCAGTGTTGTATTCTTTTCAATGAATTAAACACTAGTTTCGTAATAATAAATAATATATAAATAATAAAGGCTATATGTTTTCAAAGCTAACTCTAACTTATCAGTTGTTTTATAGAGTGGGTGTTCGGGTGGAGTCCAAGCAAACTGAGAGTTGGCATCACTGGGAACACTGGCATCACATTATTTGCATCATTATTGACATATGTTGTGCCCATTACTTGTTAACCCATCAGCACAAGAGCCCTCACCGACATGGAGGAGCGGACACACCAATACATACTGTAATTGTCGGATCAAAATGAGATACTTTTAACAAATGTTAAGCCATACCACAGACTTGGAAAGACTGCAAATTGATGGCACGTGTGTTTCCATTGTAAAGCAATGATGAGTGTTGTGCCCACTATTACCCACTATTGCCGCTACCCTTCAATTGCTTTCAATTGTATCGTACGTACGCTTTAAAGGACTACTCGCGCAGTGCATGAAAGCGCAGTGAATGTTGTGATGTTGTGAGGCTTACATTCACGCAAACTTGTTATAAAACATCAAACATAACAATCAATTTCTATTATTATAATCATTTAGAGAGCAAAATAATGGACATAATTAGTTGAATTGTTTTCATTGCTTTCTATGCAAGAGTTTGAATTTAGGATTGAAATCATTTAAAACTTATGAATGGAGTCTATGATAAGAGTGAAACAAATACCTCTCGTATTATGCTTTCGACTTAAAAGTCTTATATTATATGAATGATGTGAAGAGTAGAGGGAAAGTGCTATTTGCAGCTATTAGTGGCTTTCACTTACGAAATGTCAATAAGTGTGTAAATACTGTGAAAGAAAGCACTTTTCTATGCAATTCTATTCAGTTCTTTATTTTATATTTTATTTCACTCTATTTTGTATTATAGCTTTTAATGTCTGTAATACCAGCTCTGCTACAAAATACGGTTCCGCCCTTAGGTCACAGATAGACTAACTGAGCGGTGAATGGAGTAAAGCTTTTAAATATTTACTACAATTCTAATAAACTTCTCTCTAATCAATTTAAATAGTTTTAATGATCTAATGAAGCGATGAGTGAATGCCATCAAATATATAATAAGCCACAATATTTTAAATTCAAACCCAAACCAATAAAACAGTAATTGTATTTTTACTAAAATTGTCAACAATCAGTTATGATAAGAATTGGCACTTGTTTTATATTTATTGCAATTGCAACTCACGAAAAGAGATATCAATCTTTTTAAATTTACATAACTTTTTCCATATATTCACTATATGACATACTCTACATGACATTTAAACTTACACTTTAATTTTTACAATTGTTTGATTCCTTTATATATTATTTATTATAAATACACGAAAATAATTTGTTGAAGTATCCAAAAATAAAATAAATTAAACAGTTTCTATTTGGGTCTATAGTTTAGGATTAGAATCAAATCTATAGGGAATATATGGCTGTGAAAACTTCAGGAGTGGCACAAATAGAGAGAGAGAGAGAGAGAGAAAGAGAGAGAGAGAGAGCATATTGACGTATTTGTGCATTTGGCGACCCAACCCCTCGACTTTAGCAGATTAAGCCCAATCGAGCATCCATAAGCACCATAAGCACCATAAGCACCATAAGCACCGTAAGCATCCATAAGCATAATTGGTCGGAATTATTAAATTTTAATGAGCTTTCCTTAGCAATACGTTTCGCAATGAATTGGCGCTTAATATACCCCTAAATGTATTTTTCATAGACTTTGATATTAACCAAACCTAATGTTCAATATGTTATGCAAATCATATGCTTTGCCTTTCAAAGCAGTCTCTTATGCCTTATACATCCCTCTCATGTCTATTGTATTCATTTTATTACATCTTTTCTGAATTTAATCATTGATAAGCTCTTGAGAGAGATTAACAAAAATGAATGAATCAACTGAATCGACCTGTGATTGTCTATTATCAGTAAAATAATATGATTGAGAGTATTAAAAATACATTAGCTAACTCATTATATAACATAATAGCACTTTATATTAATTCTAATCAATATTCACTTTATTGTCATAAATTTCATACTATATATTACAGTAGAATTACTTTTATATAAATATATTGTTAGCACAACAATAAACTTAAGTCTTGTTATACATTATAATAATTCCTTTCTATTTTATCGTTAGCTTTTGTAATCAGATATAAAATATAATAATTAATTATTATTTTCGCAATTTGCTGCAAAGCAAATAAATTATATTTAATTACTTTTGTTAGCGTTTTATACAATTTGGAGAGAGTGTGAGAGAGTGTCAGTTATAATAGTATGGGTTTTGTGTGTATTGAGAGAAAGTGTCTTTTAGGAGGCAATCAATTTGTGTCAAACATACTGTTAGTGTAGCTTTAAATCCAATAAAGAATTGAGTTGTAAATGTAGTGAATGTTTAGTACTGTTTGCTTGTTTAGTTGTTTAGTTCGGGAGTACATCGAAATCTCGAAAAACAAAATCTCGAAAACATAATCTCGAAATTTAAAAAAAATCGTATTAATATCACTACACCGGAATAACTAGCACATCCAGATATATCTGTTGTAGCTAGCATCCGAGATGGTAAGCTATATCTGCTATAGGCAAAAAGCTTTAATCGGTAACAAAACTGTATCAGGCGGGCCAGTACTCCGCGCGTTACCTAACCCAACCTAATGGTTCCACAAGGTAATAATCATGCTAGCTATATCAGATATAAGTGGATGTGCTAGCTATTCCCGGTGTAGTGTTATTAAAACGATTGTTTTAATTTCGAGATTATGTTTTTCGAGATTTTGTTTTTCGAGATTTTGTGTGCATACGGTTTAGTTCAATGAATGCACAGATAAAGACGTCGTGTTTATCCCATAAAAATAACGGTAAATCCGTTTTAACCCATTTTATGATTGCATTAAATTCTATATTAAATCAAGAAATACGAGTGACTACTGACTACTACTCGTCCACTAAAAGCACTTTTAGGAGGCAATCAATTTGTGTCAAACATACTGTTAGTGTAGCTTTAAATCCAATAAAGAATTGAGTTGTAAATGTAGTGAATGTTTAGTACTGTTTGCTTGTTTAGTTGTTTAGTTCGGGAGTTCATCGAAATCTCGAAAAACAAAATCTCGAAAACATAATCTCGAAATTTAAAAAAAATCGTATTAATATCACTACACCGGATATATCTGTTGTAGCTAGCATTCGAGATGGTAAGCTATATCTGCTATTAGGCAAAGAGTTTTAATCGGTAACAAAACTGTATCAGGCGGGCCAGTACTCCGCGCGTTACCTAACCCAACCTAATGGATCCACAAGGTAATAATCATGCTAGCTATATCAGATATAAGTGGATGTGCTAGCTATTCACGGTGTAGTGTTATTAAAACGATTGTTTTAATTTCGAGATTATGTTTTCGAGATTCTGTTCTTCGAGATTTTGTGTGCATACGGTTTAGTTGAATGAATGCACAGATAAAAGACGTCGTGTTTATCCCATAAAAATAACGGTAAATCCGTTTTAACCCATTTTATGATTGCATTAAATTCTATATTAAATCAAGAAATACGAGTGACTACTGACTACTACTCGTCCACTAAAAGCATTCCTAAATCACTAAACAATGTCTTCAGTCGTGTTTTGAAACTCATTGAGAATTTAGTTGAGGATTAGGCGAGTGAATAGGATTTGCGAGTTGACGGCTATAAATAAATTGTGTGACCATTAAAAGAGCAAATGTTATTATAAGAGAGACTTTTATTATCCAATTTCGACTAAATTAAAGTATAAGTCAAGCAAAGCAACTAATCATACAATTAAATACTATTTTCTCAATATTTATATTACATTTAAACTCTAACATTAAGAACAAACACATAAATCGCTTAATTATTTGATTCATTAGTTAATCATTTAATTAGTTATCATTATGTGATGCAATTGAATATAACATTATTATACAATCAATGCTTATTTCATTGAAAATATATGCCATAATAGCTATCAATAAATAAGAATGTATTAAATATTATGTTTTGTAAAAATGTTTTAAATTAGTTTCTAATCACGTTATAAATAAATTGACAGAACATTAAACAATGAATAAATGATTAAAATGACACTTTGTTTTGTTCATTAATCTTATTTACAAATAAACTAAAACTTTATACAAAGGCTAAGATAAGTCTAAATGAATGAAATGTCAAAATCAGACCAAACCCGATATGGTTGGTGTCCTTATGGCGAAACTCATTGAGAATTTAGTTGAGGATTAGGCGAGTGAATAGGATTTGCGAGTTGACGGCTATAAATAAATTGTGTGACCATTAAAAGAGCAAATGTTATTATAAGAGAGACTTTTATTATCCAATTTTCGACTAAATTAAAGTATAAGTCAAGCAAAGCAACTAATCATACAATTAAATACTATTTTCTCAATATTTATATTACATGTAAACTCTAACATTAAGAACAAACACATAAATCGCTTAATTATTTGATTCATTAGTTAATCATTTAATTAATTATCATTATGTGATGCAATTGAATATAACATTATTATACAATCAATGCTTATTTCATTGAAAATATATGCCATAATAGCTATTAATAAATAAGAATGTATTAAATATCATGTTTTGTAAAAATGTTTTAAATTAGTTTCTAATCACGTTATAAATAAATTGACAGAACATTAAACAATCAATAAATGATTAAAATTACACTTTGTTTTGTTCATTAATCTTATTTACAAATAAACTAAAACTTTATACAAAGGCTAAGATAAGTCTAAATGAATGAAATGTCAAAATCAGACCAAACCCGATATGGTTGGTGTCCTTATGGCGCCTGCAGTCGCCGCTGAGGCCACCGCAGAGTTTAAGTGACTTCCAGATGATATGAAAGCAGCCGCTGAAGAATGATGTGACGGATGGTAATAGTATGAGGAGAGGGCCGCCTGAAGAGATACGGCCGCGTTGTCCGCGTGACCAGAGCTGGTGGTGGACGAGGCGTTTGGGTTGCCATTTGTGTCGTGTGAGTGCGAGTGATGGTGTCCGGGATGACTGGGATGTCCGGATGTGGTGTGATATAAGATGGGAACGGCTCGTATGCGTTGAGCGGCCGCGTGAGCCATATTCGCCGCCTCCAACTCGGCCGCCAACTGACGCTTCCATTTGTTTCGCCGATTCTTCACATATAATACACTTAAGAATCACACAAATCATGAGACATTCAACCATACAATACCTGAAACCATATTTTAACCTAAAGTCAAAAGCAATACATTTGTTAGAATAGAGTTCCGGAGACTACTGACTGTGCTATATATGAGACTGACTTGAGTTTCCGTGAGGTGTAGGGAGGCTGCGAGTCCCGCCCGCTCTGAACTCGACAAATACCTCTTCATATCAAATGTTGACTCCAATTGAAAGACTTGGCTTCGAGTGAAGACAGTTCTAGTCTTCTTCTTCCTTCTGTTCCCATTCATACCATTATTGTTCTGAACGATCGACGCGTTGTCTTTCATTCTTGAGCCGCCGTTTAATTTATTCTTAGTGTGAATCGAGTCCTTCTCAGAACAGGTATCCGATTGGTTGTCATCATCCATATCGATATCTTCTCCGTGGTCTGAATGGGAGGCATTGCAGTGTCCAATACATGGCGAGAGTGGACTCGAAGCCATGGATCGACTGTCACTCCTCTCCACATAATTTAAACTAATTTTGCTGTTAATCGTTGAAATGGATTCGTTATTATTGGTGACCGAAACGCTTCGGTGGCCAAACACTATACAAATTATATGTAAATAGCAGTTAATTATAATAATTATGGGCCGCATATGTTGCACCGGAAACCCTCATCTGCCGTTCACAACATTTTTGCATACATTCATGCATTCATGCCATCATTCAATCATTCAATTACTCTATGCTATCATATATAATACACAACTCAAATGCTTACAGTTATAATACAAACTAAACATTAAACTCTATTCGTGCAAAAACTTGTTTTTTAACACTTCTTACTATAATAATCAACTCATTTGATTGTGATGTTCACCCACTATTCAAACGATTATTCATTACTTATTTAATTAATGTTTCCATCAATACTCTCTCTCTCTCTCTCTCTCTCTCCGCGCTTCTCTATATTTGTTGTCAATACTAATTCATATATTTATAATAGGTTTTATACAACAAAAAACAGGTGGCTTTCGTGACAAAAATTTCATTAGCAATTTTATGCTAAAATTATATGAAAATAATAAAGCTCTGTTATATTTAATATCACATTTGTAAAAGTAAATCTGTTTTTAAATATAATACTAATTAATTATCAACTTGAATAATTATCTGTTAAACAGTTATTAAACCGATCAGGATCTCACAATTTTATTTTTGTGATAAATTATCACTGATAATAATTAAATTTTATTAGATATTTTAATAATTTATAAATAGCCAATGTAAATTCAATTATGAAATTTAATACTAATTAAAGTTTATATTAATTGTACTAGTATTACTCAAACACTACATAACATTTTAAATTCTAACTTTATACAATACTGCACCTAACAGAATATAAAGTAAATTTTTAGTATATATTACAACTAAAAGTATTACTCTAAAAATATATATCAGTAAATTATAATTTATAAAATCTTATATTCCAATATACAAAACGTATATATATTTGTTTTATTGGTTATTTGCCTTAATGGTAGCATAATTAGGTTTAATGATAAAATCATATGTTCTTTAAATTGTAAAAAGAAATTTGGCAAATATGAGGGAATTTGCAATTTCTTTAAAAACATATAAATGGAAAAATAAAAGAAGAAATGATAGTTAAAGTAAGTACGGTAAATGAGTAAGGTTATTATTGTCTATATTAGTCTAAAATATTGAAATTAAAATCTAATTAAATAAGTATAAATATTGTAAATTATTAAATGTATTCAAATAGATATCTTAGAAAGTCATATAATTTGGATTTATTATAATAATTGAGTCAAATTTATAAATAATTTTGAAAATTTGCTTCAAATGCTTAAGGAAAATAAAATCACATTTAGATAGAAATGATTTTTGATAGTTTTTGTTGAATATTAAAAATTAAATAAAATTGAATAACAATGGGATTTAGTTATTATTGAGCCAATCAGCACAGGGTGTGTCTGCCTAACAAAATGTATTGAATATAAAATGATAGAGAATATGATGAATGCTAATCGTTTGGTGCAATCATTTAGTGGTTTTACAATATTTGAAATGATCACAAAACATAAGAATTTCTACTATTATTATTGGATAATAATTCAAACATAAATGTCTTGAAAGCATTTTATTGATCCAACTCTACATTTAAGGCAATCAATAGAAGTAATGCATTGAAATTGAAAGATCACTGAATGAGTTGATCGCATGCATGACAACATGAACTTTTTGCAGAGATTTAGATATTAGTTATGGTTTTATTGATGATATTCTATGATATAAGTAATCATTCTTTACCGGAATCTTTGTTTTCACGAAACAACATGTGATGAGAAGTGTTGCCGGTATTGACTAACTGTCCGCTTCCCACTAAGCCTGATGAGACGGCCCATGGATACCATGGAGTGGGCTTTCTTGGCATGTGATGGCCCGCTGCAGACGCCAGCATTGCCGGCACTAAAGATGACGATACAGTCACTATAGGCGCCGAGCGGGATGTCATCACAGCTGCCGATAGAGAGATTGGTTCAAGTGTTGACTGACAATAACGAAACACTTGACTCTCTGTGCAATATGTGTGTATATATAGTGTCAATAATTGACAAATAAAGCATTAAACGGTTATCAGATAAATATTTCAATCAATTTATGTAAAACTAAGATAACATTAAAATTAATTGTATTCACCGATAGATGGGTTGGCATCGGGTTTGGAGAACTTGGAGACGGGATCGTCTCTATTGAGAATACTAGTGATAGAGAAGGGAATCGACGGCTTGTTTATGACATTCTCGTCGTTCAGTT